TAGCTTTATTTTTATTTCCATTTTGGTTACAGAAGTTGACTCAATTCATAACTAAAACCTTGTAAAACAACGGCTACAATTGCCTTCAATTGTGCAGCTTTTTACTTGATTTTTCTACATCAGCTGCTCTTCAAGATGATAATGGATGCATACGACATGGATAACAGTTTATCAGTCAAATCATTAAAGTTGAAACAAAGAGGCTTAGTGGAGAAAAATGATTACACTTTGTTATCACACAAAGATCTAAACCTATCGTTAGCAGCTCTCTGTTCCTGCACCTCTCAGTCAGATGATTGCATTACTTCCTCATCATGGCTTTGATATCTACTGAAGCCTCCTAATAACCTAATAAATCAAAGTCAATTGAGAGAATTACTTAAAAAGACAAAAGAGTCTGCAGCTTTCATGTTTAAAGGTGGTGGTATATATCTTAAGTCTGTTGGCTGAAACTGTGCTTACACGTGTTCCTTTCACCTTTTTTCATCACACGTTCTTATTTGCATAGAATGGGGCGTAGCTGCAGGCTCCTCTGGGCCGCTCTGACCCCGCCAACAAAAAAATGCAAAGCAGTATAAATACAATGAAGGCTCTCATCACATGTCGAAATGACAGTGGCAATAGTGGTTACTAAAGCAAAGTGAAGATTATGGAATATAGGTTTTACTGTGTTTGGCATTTATCCCTCAAGTATTGGTTTTAAAAAAGGGGGGAAAAAAGGAGGCAAAATGTCGTAATCACAGCAGGAGCTGATTACGTTCAAACCATTAAGCCAAATTATTTAGCTATATAATACTAATTCATATTTAAGAACCCCAGCATAGTGAGAATGTAGATGAAGCCTGTGTTCCCGCTGTAACACTGGTGTCGGCTCCAAAATAATCCCCCTAGACAATCTAAACCGCAGCTAAGAAGCCCTGCATCTTCATCTGCCAGCAGGACAGTATGTAAAAAAGTATTTTTATAGTTTTCTTGCTCGTCCAGAGTCCATCGTAGCAGGACCTTACTGTTTTGTGGGGGAAATAACTTACTTCTCCTTGTATGCATGGGTCTGCTTACTGGCTGCATCTTTCTCTTCCCTTCTGTGTGGCAGTAAATCCACTTCCACGAAAAAAACACACTGACCTTTGCAGTGTGTTTTAGGTTGTTGTCTCACTGGGATACCAATCCACTATCGGTATTCAGTGTTCTGGCTGAAGGGCGAAGGTTAATGTCTGGCTTTTTTTTTTTTTTTGGCTTTTCAATGAAGAGACATCCTGTGGCCCCCATTCCTACCCCCTGTACTTTTCCACATGGGTATTTTTTTTTCTGCTGGGGTTTTAATTGATAAACACAAACCAAGTAGTGGGAAAGATTACCTATAAATAACAGGTACATGTTTCTCCAATATTTTATAAGAATAAAAAGTCTTGGAAGGTTGGTTAGTTTTCAGCATTTTTTATTTATTTTTTTCCCGATATAATGTTCGTTTGTCTAGGTCATTAAAGCACAGCAATCAGCTGTTATATGTCTGGGTTGTTGTTTTGGTATTTGTTTTGCTGCAATGTGAATCTCCAACCCATTCTCAAGGCTTCTGCAGCCCCTGCAGGATTCCTTTCAGGAATGCGTTGTGTTTGGCGCCATCCATCCGCGAGCTCTGCACAGCCAAATTCCGTTATTTATCTTCCACAACCCTCGGCACGGCGTTGGCACGGCATTGACAACATTTCTGTAAAGCATAGCTAGAAACATTTATAACCATGCAGCCAACTTCAAATGGAAAAACATTTCGACAGTTCCCGTAGCTGATGGTTCATAATTATAAACTTCTAGACACGTTTTTGGATTTAGCCTTTAAATATTGCTACGATCAAGAGATTGTGGAAAAACTTAAAAGTTACTTTTGGGGAACCTGAAGATGCTTCAAGAAAGTCTAAAACAACTGTTTTCCATTTCCTCATGTAGTGTGGTGTCATAAACTGGTGTACACCAGCTATTCCCAACCTGGGGTTTCTGTACCCCTAGTGGTCTGTGAGTGCATTGCAAGGGGTACATGAAAATATTATATTTCTTAGGAAGTGAAATAAAATAGGGCAGGGACCTGTTTTGCTTTGTAAGGACCAATCTAAAAAAATAAAATCTGCTTTTCTTTCAGCCAAAAAGTTATTAACTTCCAGGCAACATATTTGTGTCGTTTTTTTTATTTTTATGGAAAGCATAAAATTATAAAAATTAAATGCTCAAATTAAAAGATTAAGTAAAATAGTCTTTATTTCAGATATTGTACGTTCCACTTTTGTACAATCATCAATACTTTTGGTTAAGAGGGGAACTCATGGTACAAAAAATTTATTATTTATTAATAATTTATTTTAATTCCTTCATAGCCTCTGGCAAAGTTTTACCAAGACTTCTTGTGGCTTGTTGTTTTATCACACACCCATAAGGATCATCTTTTTGAAATACAACACTAATAGTTGTCCTGTCTACAGATTTCCCCACTTGAGCATCAGATCTCTGCAGCTGCTCCAAAGTTTAACAATGGCCGATGTCTGATTAATGCACTTCAGCTAGTTCCTACATCTTGGCAGGTTATCAGTTTGCCATAGAACCTCTAATTAAACGTCTTTCTGCGATTATATAGAACCTTTTACATAATGGAACCTGCCCGAAAACAATTGCTGTGTTTCCTGTTCTTTCACTGATGTTCTCTAATAAACCCATGTCAACCTTGATAGAAAAGCTGAATCGATAAGTTGTTTTCAAGTTCTAGATAGAATAATTAACTTATTCTTTCTGTTTTTATTGGAACACAGGTATACTGATTCCATTATGTGAATCTGGGACCTGTACCCTGAGGGAAGCCATCATTATTGGAAGCATACTAACCAAATGCTCCATCCCTGTGCTGCACTCCAGGTAGGCCAGCTCGCTTACACCCACAGTTCACTGTCACAGTGTTATGTCAGAGCCGGGGTTATGTAGTTCAGGGTCATATAACTGGTCCAATCATTCTTGTCTTTCAGCGCGGCAATGCTTAAGTTGGCAGAGATGGAGTACAACGGTGCCAACAGCATTTTCCTACGTCTCTTGCTGGACAAGAAGTACGCCCTGCCTTTCCGTGTCCTGGATGCCTTGGTGGCTCACTTCCTGTCCTTCCGTAGTGACAAACGTGTTCTTCCTGTGCTGTGGCATCAGAGCCTCCTCACCCTGGCCCAGCGTTACAAGGCTGACCTGGCCACTGAGCAGAAGGAAGCACTGCTGGAGCTGCTGAAGATCCAGACACACCCGTACATTTCAGCAGAGGTTCGCAGAGAGTTGCAGAACTCAGAGTCAAGAGATGTTGAAGTTGGACTCCCTGCTGTAGTTGAGATGGACTGAATCAGTCTGCATCACTGCTTTCTCATTTTCTCTTTGGCTACTGTCATGTCAGAAAGACCTTTGTGGAATCCGGGAGTTGTAATTGTGATCTGGCTCCATCTTGCTGACACACAGACTTGCTCATTAGTGGTGATGTAAGAGTTTATTTCATAACATGAGTGAGCTTTGGAATAAAGAGACTATTTTTTGTGTGAATTTGATTTAGAGTGCTTTAGTTATCGTTGATCTTTATTTACTGTCATTGCTTTTCAACCAGCCACACAAAATCAAATCCTGTCTTAAAGTTATGACTTCACTCATTATTTAAAGTCTTGGAAAAGTTGAACAAAACCTTCTGAAAGAAAACCTTTACAAACTACTGAGTGGTGTGAAAAAGAGCCTCTCACTGTTAAATGGTGGCTGTATTAAGGGAAAAAGTCTATAAATACTTTTACCACCCATTTACTGTTTTTTTTATTCTTAAATGCTCTTTTTTTTTAACCCCAATCTTTTATCAGTTTTGTCATTACTAAATACAATAATAATTCAGTTACTAGAATCCATATATCAGCTGTTTTTTTTTTCATATCCCCTTGCTATCCAACCGCTTATTATCCACTTTCCAACTTTATTGGATTTTCTCCGGTTTGCTGTGGCGAAAAGAAAAAAGGATCGACCCATTAAAGATTTCTTCTAGTTTTATTAGTCTAACATGAAACATAAAAAAAAAGTTATCCCATTTGTGGATAATGGCTTTTACTGCAGTACACCGAAAACCCAAATAATAGTTTAATCATACTTACAGGGAAGGATCAATTACTTGGTCTTTCAGCAATTCTTGAATTTTCTTAGATTGGGTTTAAGATTGTCTGACCTGCTCCATGTTGCCAGACAGGTTCTTCTTTCATTTAGGGTATTTAATATTCAGTAAATTGTGGAATAGGCAATGGTATTAAAAATTTAAACTGACATGTTTTTTTTTTTTTTTTAAAGAAGGGTTTTTATACATTTTTCTCAATTTTTTATTGTGAATGTAATGTAACATGCTCCCTTATGTATTTATTTATTGTCTTATAATAGAATTTCTATAGCAGTGTTTTTATATGTGAATGCAGTGTGACACATAGTTTGGACTATGTAGCAGCCAGAGTATGTACCCAAATCAAACCTCCTTTGGGACAATAAATTTAATCTAATATTCAATCCATGTACTAAAAAGTAATTAATACACGATTTGACAACAGAGGGCAAATGCTTAAGAGCAAGGGTTCTGAAAGAGGGGGTTGTTAAAAGGGTTTTCACATTTTTGAGTATATAGAGGGCCAAATCTATCATGAAATAAATGTAATAAAATAAGTAGATGCAACATTTATGTATTTCTCTAATAAAAACATGAAACCTACAATTAAATTGGGAAATTGGACATAGAATTATTAAAAATACATGTAAAATTATGTAAATTAAAAAAAAAAAGAAATGTATTTGAAAAGAAATATAGCTTGGCCTACTTCACCTTATATTTGTAAAAGTAACCCAATGTATTTTAAGTGGTTCTTCAGTCAGTTGTATTGCTATTGCTATTGGGGTCCTGATGCAATGTGTGGGAATCCCTGCCAGAGGCGTAGCCAGAAAATTTTTACGAGGGTGGCCAGGCAATAACCAATAGATAAGCACTAAAACCTTACAGCAATCTGCACTGTTCCAACAGGAAAATTAACGAGCAAAACATCCATATTTTTTAATAAAGACAAACTGCAACTTTTCCATAGTCATTGCTTACCTAATTTTATCAGTAATCCTTCTGCATAAAACTGATATTTACAAGTAATAATATTTACATAGATTATTTAATAAGTTTTTATTAAAACATTTATGATTTCACTGAAAACTCCTAAGTGACTTGCAGAGAAATTTTCTCTTTACCCCATATAACAAAATCTGTTTCTGAAGAGCATGAATTCTGTACCTATCATATTTAATGTTAGAATGTTGATGTGCATAATTAACCAGTGTTTTTGTGGTAAAGTAATTGTTAATATATAAAAAATGTTTTGAATATTCCACTTGAGGGTATTACTGCTGTCATCACCTGTATTAGAGGGGAAATAAATGGTAGGGGTGGCCATGGCCACCTCTGGGCCCCCATCTAGCTCCGCCCCTGGTGAACAAGGGTAATTTAATGACGTTCGTGTTTTAAAAACTATTTCTTTGAATTAATGCTAGATAACTTCCCGTAGTATTCATATTTTAATGACGTATGTTTCAGTATTACTATAAAAATAGAAATGTCGGTAAAACATCAGGGGTTAAAAACATTTTGCGGCACCAGCAGCTACCATCACCATGGTAACAACACGCATGGTTAAGCAGCTAATGCTAGCTAGAAGAGGCTTTTTTAGCTAATGTTCCGGTTTCAGAACGGTCAAGGGAAGATGGAAAGCTTCAAATACGACTCAAGGGTTGAACCTGCTGACTCAGCCCAGGTTGTGGTCCCCAGAGCAGGGACAGACCCCTCAGTCATCGGGGACCTCAGAGTCCTGGAGAACCTGCGGTCCCTGGAGGAGGGCAGCAGCATGTCCACCTCCTCCCTTTGGGAGGTCCAGAGGGACATCCAACCGCATATGAGGAAGATACTTACAGTCTGGATATTCAGGGCATGTCAAATGTGTCTTATTTCCAACAATACCAAAATTAAGTAGTTTTTTTTATTATTATTACAAAGTTATAAAATAAATAATTTTTTTAATAGGTGTGTGAGGAGCAGCTGTGTGAGGAGGAAGTGTTTCCCCAGGCGGTGTTCCACCTGGACTCCTACCTGAGCCGCTACACTATTGAGAGGTCCAAGCTGCAGCTTTTAGGGGCCGTCTGCATGTTTCTGGCCTCAAAAATGAGAGAAACAGTCCCTCTGACAGCTGAAAAACTTTCTTTCTACACAGAAAACTCAGTTTCAGCCTCAGAAATCCTGGTAAATCTTCCAGCGCTTGCATATTTGACGTGAAGTTTGTGGGAACACTACTGCACACTATATGAAATTACATGAACATGTGTACTTGAAGCTGATTTTTTCTTTTAAGCAATTTCTACAAAAGTCAAATTACTATCTGAAGAATTATTTTAAAAGACATTATGGGAACCAGAAGACCCCCCCAAGGTCCAGAAACAGATTATGCAAAAAGATAATTGCTATGACGATTTAAGAAGAATGAAATTGGTTTGACAAACCTATAAGTTGTTAACTACTGCTCCGTCAGAAAAGAAAAAAGAGAATACATTTGCTGACGGGGCTGCATTGGAGCGAAGAGTTTTCCCGTGTGCTCAGTTGTGCGGGAGCTATCGCTCCCTTTATTATCAGAGCTAATAGTGTTCCAGATCTGTCCTCAATCACTTGGGATGAGATGAACTATTTATTGATAAATCTTATGGTAGATAAATTGTGCAGGGTTCAACAGATGTGCACGTGTTAAAGATGAAACTGATGGAGGCTATTGACCAACACTGCCTGTGTGATCATATTGATGCATCAGCTTCATCTCAGCTTGACATGTCATGCTCTGTGTCCCATCGTCCAACTTTCAGCGCCCACGTACCGTCAGCAGCCGGCTGTGGTTTACTGGTTTATGAAGTGAAAAGCCAATGCTGCATAATTTGTGTGTTATGAAAAGATATTAATCCTACTAAACCTTGCTGGAAATTGATATTTTTGTCCTCCTAGGTTGAGGCTGAGTGGTATAATTTTCCCATAAGCCAGGAGCTTTTAAGTGTGGAAAAGAGGAATTATATAGCTATGAATGGCTTCCTTAATAGTGATATCACTTCCTTGAACAAAAGAAGGTTGCACAGCGGTGAGCTGTGGAGTGGCTCGAATGGACGTTTCTTCTGCTTCCATTAAGGTCACGCCCTGCTCCGCCATGCTGGAGAGTACACAGGCGACAACAGGGCCCCAGACAAATGGAGCACTCTCCCACAAACCTCGTTAAGGCTGGAATCACTAAAAGAGAAAAAAATATAATAGTTATTAAATTAATTAATTCCCAAAATACATGTATTATTTTAACTTAGACAACTTTATTGTCTTTTTGTATATACAAGATGAAATTTTGTTTTGTGCAGTTTTCAGACAGTGAATGAGCAGCAGTTTAGCAGTGAAATAAACATTTCCATTTCATAAAGTGCAGCAGTAATTAAATGTCAACTGTGGGTGAAAACGTGGTGCAAAAGGCATTGATATGGAAGTTCAGAGCAGTGCTAATACACATATATATGGTGCAACAATGAAGTAGAAAAACATTTAATTTGAGTTCTGTTAGTTGGATGTTATCAGTTTGATGCAGAGTCTCGATTTATGACTTTATTTAGAGTTTTTTCAACAGTTCAGCAGTCTGATAGCAGTGTGGAAAAAGTTATTACAGAACCTGCTGGACCTGCAGCAGATGCTGCGAAGCCTCTTCCCAGAGGACAGCATGGAGAACAGCTTCTGATTTAACAAGGACAGCTTCATTAAATACATTAAAACATTAAATAAATCATCATATTATGAACAAATAATGAAGAAAATAACCTAAAAAGATCATACAGCATTAATCAATTACAACGTCATAAGTTTAAACCATCACTAAAGTCAATTTCTGTAGGATTTCGAAAATGCATAGTTGGAGCTTCTTTTCAGCACATGTTGATGCACTGGAAAAACAATCTAGTTTCTTAAATTAAGTGTATTTACCCTCAATTGGAGTAGATAAATGAGATAGTTTGCTAATAGAATGAGTATTTTTACTTTTAAAATAAGATAATTAGATAATATTCACTTAAAATAAGACAAAGAAATTGTCTTTTCTTATTTTAAGTGTAAATTGTCTTGTTTCATTGGCAAAATGTCTCTTTTTCCTCCTCAATTCAAGAACAAATGCACTTATTTTAAGAAAAAAAAATTACTTATCTAGATTTTGATTTTTTCCAGTGTGATTGAATCGTATTCAGGCACGCATGACTAAGGAGCTTTGCATTTTAACTCTGCTCTGGAAGGATAACGTCCTTCCTGAGTTTCAACATGGGGTAAAGGGTACTAATATCTAATGGCCTTGTGTGTGAAGGTCCCGCTGTGAGATTATAATGGTGGATTGCTTTAAAGGAATGTGTATGTTGCAGCAGTGGGAGGTAGCGGTGGTGTCCAGGTTAGACTGGTGTCTGGCCTCTGTGATCCCCTCTGACTTCCTGGAGCCAATTCTTCATGTTGTTCCTTTTGTCCGGGCCCCTCACCTCCAGCTCATCCGCCGACATGTTCACTCCTACATCGCTCTGGCGCTAACGGGTAAGTTACATAATTCAGTTACCTACACATGAGATGGTTGGCTAAAATAAAGAGGAACAAAAGTTGATTTACTTGGTAAACACATTTCACTGCAATAAAAGGGATCTCTGTTATGGTTCTAGTGAGTGAATAACTTTAACATCATCAAGCATTTTCCACGTTTTAAATTGTTACACACTGTCTTTGGAGCAGAGAACAGTTGGCAGCAATGGCTACTTTGGTCACAGTGTGTCAGCACTTTGTTTTTGGAAGCAGGGAGCTGAGTTTGTGTAATCCTACATTGTTCTGCTCTGAAAGACCTGGGTCCGACTATTCAGCTGGCTCAGTTCCCACGAATCTCTGTGATGCTGCCAGAGGCAGCAGGTCACAAGGATACCTTTGGTTAGTTTCCGTTTAAACAGACTATAGCATTACAGCACATACAAGTAAAAGAATTCCCAGATCTCAACAGTTTACGTCACTGAAAAATGTGCAATACAAAGACAGAATGGATGTGTCTAAGGATTTCTCCTGCCTGCAGCAGTTAGGATATTAGGTGGACAGGTTTTGAGAAAGGACTTCCTCTCTCTGTTTGTCTTTCAGGGTGTGTCTCAGTGCTGCTTTGCGGATCTCAGAAATCTTTGCAATGATTAAAACCAGTAACCCCCTCCCACTCTCTTTTTGTTCTTTAGACTGCAGGTTTTTGGCCTTCTTACCTTCTACTCTTACATGTGCTTGCGTCAGCACTGCCATGCACAGGCTAAAGATGGTGGACAGACACGACTCATCTGATTCAGTTGCCAAACTGTTGGCCAACCTGTTGGCTACTGATCTGGTATGGGTAATATTTAACCAGAATTTGCTACTATTACTTTGACTTTGCCCTGTCAACAATGATCAGAATGTTTTTGAGTATTTTCCCCCCAAAACTTCCTCATCAGCCAAAAAAAAGAGACATTTATATATATTTTTTTGGTCACACTTAAATGTTTTAAGCTAAAAAAAAAATGACCAATCTAATAAAAAAAGTTCTAATTAATCCCTTGAATTGGTTTTTAAATGATTTATTTTCATTATTTCACTTTCAGTTTGAAAAAAAATCCTTGTTCAGACTAAATTGGGCCTATGTAAAAGAATAATTATCCCCTTTTTAAATCATGGATTAACAGTAATTAATCATATTTGAATTGATGCCACTGGTTCCATTAACTTAAGAACTGTTAAATCAAGAATCATTTTTAATAGCTCTCATCCAACCTGTTAGGTGTTAAAAAAAAACCGCACAAAATTAAACAGTAATCAGAGGAACCTTAATGAATTAGTTCTTAAAAGGGTTGCACAGCTCTAAAGTCACAACAAGCTGTTGTGACCATAGAACAGCGGTGAACTTTCCCAGGAATGCTCAACATAAGATTACAACAGGAGTGTCGTCACACTTCACCCAGGAGGTCAGAAAAGAGCTTAGAAGAACATTTAAGGTTTGCAGGAGTTATTTGATTCAGTTAAGGTCAGAGTTAATAATCAGAGAGGCTGGGCAAAAAAATGCACCCATGAAAGAGTTTCAAGGTCAAGATAACTGGGGATGGAAAATAAAAGGCCATTTGTAAATAAGATTTGATGATCCTCAAACTTGTAGTAAAATATTCTGTTTATTCTTCTATGTAAAGGTTTGCATCTAGTTTGAATGTGACTGAATATTTATTCTTTTTTAATAGAGCACCATTCTTAAACTCCGAATGGGTATAATGTGATGGTCTGAGTCTAATTTGATGTTTCACTAGCCGAGTAAACCGAAGATCCTGATTTAACTGAATTTTGCATTGTAAGAGAAAATCCTACGGCTGAACTTTGGGCTTTGTGGAAGGGAAGTGAAGAAAAAAAAAGCAACAAAAAAACCCCATGGTGTCGGATTGGTCTAGACAAAGTCTGGATTTGAGATGCAGATAAATTACCTTTAAGTTGTCATTAGTACTTTAAAATCCTTTAAAATTAGATTGCTGAAATAAACTTTTTGATATCCTCATTGTTCTCAATGCTCCCATATTTTTTTTTTTTTTTAGAAGTAGCTTATTTCTATGTGTTAATGTATACCGCTATCCAAAATGTGTCAACGATGTTGTAATCTGACCCTGAACAGAATACGATCCTCTGCTGCTGCGAGCTGCTAGGAAGCGTGTTGGAGTTGAACCTGCCCTGCTGTTTCCAGGATAAGATTCAGCAGGACAGAAACATACAGTTCAGGGATCAGCTACAGCCCTGCAGACATCCAGGATGTCCTGACAACGCTTAAACCATCCCAGGAAACCAAGCTTAAGCCTTCCTCCCTGCCTATTCAGGAGACCAGATTCGGGAAGCAACGAAATTGAAAGGCATCAATTTCCCAAATTCTTTTTTTTTATTTTTTATTCTGTTCTCAAAATGTTGATTTATATTGCATTAAAAATAACTCTGAAATTTCTGACTGTGCTTGCAGAGTAGTCTTTACTCTTGTGATACTTAACTCCACTTCAGGCTTGACAGCAATGTTTACCTTTCTACTGCAATGTGTTTGAGTTTCTTTGTACCTCGTCTGCAGCTCCGATAAGTTTAACTTGACATTTCAACATCCATAATGACTCCAAAACAAACTTAAACAAAAAAACAAATCTAAATCCTATGTGGGTCACAAAAAACAGTCAGCAACTGAGTTCTTTGATTTTTTTATTTTATTTTTTTGTCCAAGTATGTGGATCAAGCAAACTGATATGCCAGAGACTTTAGCAAACAGACACCATGACAACACAGAAAAAGCCTGCAAACTTTGACCTTTTCTGACGAAAAAGATGACAAAATGACCACATATACATTAAGTTAATCACTGAAAGCATATTTGTAGAGATGTGGAAATTATTTCCAGGTGGAAAAGGATTCCTAGTGCACACATGCAGACGGTCTGTTCCTGATGAGCCAAAATAACAATTCCTTTATTTAAAATTACAGATTTTTTCTTAATAGCAGCATGTACATGCAGCTTTAACATTAAAGCGGCCATTAAATTGTTCTGCTAGGCCTAAATTATTAACAATAGAAAGAGGCAATTTGTGTGTCATGCATACATTTTTTAATCAAAGAAAAACAAAAATACAGACATATCTCCTGCCCTTTTTAAATAAATAAAAAAACAAAAAGGATACCCCAAATTAGGCTGATATGAAAGTAGCATTGAAAAAACTTCAGCCCTAATTAAAAATGTCATGTGCATATGTGGTTATTCATTTCAAGTATGAGTTAATGAAGATCAGAATACAGGATACTCCAAAAAGCCAACTCTCAATGCCTCACCTTTACTGCAGATATGCCGGGACATACAAACAGGTTTATATTCCCAGCAATAAGGACTAAAAGAGCCTCACCCTCACTAAGCCTGAATCATGCACGCAAATAGTCAAAGGCAATCAGTGCAAGCCTGGAGGCAAAGCAGGTTGCACCAGTTAAACCACATCATTTTTTCCCCAAAGTCATTATCCAAACAAATAATTTAATGGAAAAACAAAAACACCAAGACTAGGTATCACTTGCAAGTAAACATAATCTTGGCACTTGGTTTTTTTTATCCAACAACTTATAAAATTTACTCTTTGGTCTACAAGATGTCATCTTGCACACAGAAAAATCTCAAGTTTAAAACAGCAGACAAGTAACCGTAACATTGAACCTGATTTTTCTACTTATTGATCATTAACTTAATCTTAAACAGCTAAAAAACAGTGTTGACTCATGATAATGGCATTAAAATCAAAGTCGATGTGATAAAGTAGCCCCTCATCAAACACTGGCTATATTAGGACAAATATGAAAGATCGTCTTTAAATCGACGGCTGTGGAAATATCGTCTCCAAACCACAGTTTTGGTTAAAATGGGATAAAGTCATTGGGCACTACAGGTATATACAATAGGACTCTCAAATTTTCATCTTTAGATATTTTCTTCCCCCTAAAATAATGTTTAACTGATCTGCAGGTCTGTTTAGTTGAAATAATATTAAAACCAGTGTAATTTTCTAAGTTAAACCTTATTTATCAAACATCTAAAATAAAACCTGATCTTTGTAAGCATCTCTTCCCTTTTTGGCACTGTGTAGTTCAAGTTTTCCAGAAGGTAAACGTGAGCCCGTATTTCCACCAGTTCAGCCATGTCCTCATTAGGCTATGTTTGTCCATTTTCAGACTGTCCCTTAGCTTGCTCCAGATCCCCGTATAACCATGGCCTGTTTGTAAGTTTCGGTCACATTATCGCAGTCACTGATGGAGAAGGCGCTGTCGGCCACTCCGGACCCATAACAGTCCCACGGTCTCAGTGCGCCATCAGCCAGGATCCGGTCTTCAGCTATGTCCAACAGATTGTCTGCAGAGATGCTGCCTCTCATGCTAGTTTTGGCTGGTTTGTCCGTTTGTATCGGGGGTCTCACGTGGTCTGGCAGGTCGAGTTGATCAAAGGACTCAGAGGACAGAATACTATCTTCACTGATGGCCCCACTTGGTCTGGACATGGGGGCCCCTCTCGGTAGAGAAGCTGCCAGCTGATCCAAAGAGCCAAACTCTTGAAGCCCACCTGAAGAAAACTTTCCATTTTGCTTGAGGATTCCCTTCCTACAGGGTGGATCCGAAGGACATTCTTTAGTCTGTGGCACCCAGCCAGAGTCGCTGTGTTCTGGTGAAGAAGAATAATACCCCGACTCTTGTTCTACGGGTTTCTTTAGAATGCCTTTACGAGGCAACGCTGCAACAGAAGGGATCTGAGAAATGTTTAGTGAATTCAGTGAACCCACCGTCGGACACTCATTTACAGTCTTCTGTTTTATGCTATTACGTCTCTTGAGAATACCCTTACAGGGCCGAGAATCAGTGCTCGCTTCATTAAATGTTTGGGAGACATTGTTCTCCTTATGAGACCTTCGCAGAGAGCGCTGTCGAACCACATCGCCTCCGCCGACCTGCGACCGTAGCAAACAACGCATCTTGGAGCCATTCTCCAATAAAGGCCTGGATGTACGTCGCAGCCAGCTCGCAACAGTAGCCAGCCCTGTTGGATTGGGTGTAGATGGGGATACCGGCGGAGAGGTTTGCTCTGTCAGACTGTCCTTCCTCTCACAGAGCAGTGGCTGCTGGTAGCCCCAGTTGAGCCACCAGTGTCCAGCAACTTCCTCAACTGTAGCCCTGCGCTCAGGATTCACCATGAGCATCCAACGAATGAGTCCACAAGCATCTGTAAGAACAAAAGAAGGAAGAAGTCATCAGTCAAAACCTACAATTGGACATAAATATAAAAAGCAAAAACCAGGTTTCAGATGTACCAGAAGGTTTGTTTGGTTTGCGGTAGTTTCCTGTGCTAATCTGCTGGACCAGGATTTTGTGGTTGAGTCCATCAAATGGCATCGTGCCATGAACCATTGTGTACAACAGCACACCCAAGGACCAGGTATCCACCTCAGGCCCGCGGTATGGCCGCCCATTGACGATCTCTGGGGAAGCATACAGAGGGCTTCCGCAAAAGGTTTGAAGATATTCATCCCCGTGGTAGAGGTTGGACAACCCGAAGTCAGCAATCTGAGAGAAGATGAAATCAAAAGGTCACTACAGATTTCCAGTTACCCTCCATGATCATTTCAGCTTTCCACTATTAGAGATGACTTCTTGTTCAAGATTAATTCAAACAGTATTCAACCCTTGTTCAACATTTTAGCAAATAAATTCATCAGTCTATGATAAAACCATTTCAACATTAAATGTGACCTACATCCTGTACCACAAGATGGAAAATCAAATCAGACTGGGGAAAAACTTATATAAAAACAAAAGCAGTTCACAAGTGTGCCCATAATTAAACTTAATCTTTTTTAAGGATCTTGAGTAAAAGATGTAAGTCTTTTCAGCAGGAACACAGCAGCATCCCACATATATAGTTGTCATCCGTTTTTTTAAATGTCAGGTAAAGCATTACATTGATAATTGGATGCTGAAGATTTGGGAACGAAACTAGCTGACACTTGGAACAATTCATACCATATGATAGAAGAAAAAAAAAGGTCCCTTTTCCTGCAACCTTACATGTAAAACCACATGCACAAATGATTCTAAACATTTGTATGAACAAAAGTATGGACATTTATACAACCAGCTATTCCTTCTTTAATACAGCTTAGTAATTTAGCAGGCGTACACACAGTTAGTATATTTGCCAAGTGTAAATGCAGTTTTAAGAGCCACTCTAAGAATAAAAACAAAGTCTTAATCACGTAAGAGATTCCAAAAATACTTTTAAAATATAAAAAGTGAAGCTAAAAGAGAGAAATTCTGCTAAAATTTCCAAAGTCTGATAAGTTCTTGTGTGTAAATAATAATAAAACATAAACGCAGCATGCATACCTTCACATTGCCATTTCCATCTAGTAAAATATTCTCCAGTTTCAGGTCTCTGTGTACTATTCCATTCTAGGAGGAAATAAAAAGAAAAAAAAATTACAAACCAGACACATTTTAGTATAATATTTCCCTTTTTTCAACACAGCTCATCGGTTAACATTAAAATTGATGCCCTACATAAAGGTTGCTTTTTTTTGGCTTTCTTGTCAAGTATGTCAGCCATGTTTTTTTGTCCTCAACTCAGCAGGGGGGAATACCTTTCAATTCAAATTAAGTTTCCTTTGGAGGAAAAAAAATACTTTGCTTTGTTTTTTTATTTTTTTTTAACAAACTACCAGATTATGCCCTTGAGTTTCCTTCTAAAGTGGAACAAAAGAAAAAATTAATCTTCAATGCTAACATTTTAAGTAATAAAACATAGGTGTAGATGATCTTTCACATTATGTAAGCATAAAAGATTAAATATTTAACAAGAGACGAGAAGCCCATAAAAGTAAAATGAAGCATATGGCTAACAGAGTCTGCAGCGGAGCAAATGACACAGTAAATTCCTCCTGGTACATATTCATGATGCAGTTTGAAGTACAGACTGCTATAAAAAATAGAAAGCCCTAAAGTTTCTGTTTCTGTTCATTTACGCCCTCATTAAACCGTTAAACTATGTGTGTGCGTTTGTGTCAGGAGAGTTGGCCTTTAGCCCCAATGCTGGCTCTGCTCATTTCCCTGACATTGTTCTCACAGTCTCCCTGTTCCGAGCTGCACCATGATAGTGAATAATGCCCATTATGTAATCTTAGTGATGGAACTGCCCTGGAAGGCCTATAACACTGATGAGGGGGAAAAAAAATCTAATTTCATCCTTGATAAACCTATTGAAATCATGCTGATGAAGATTCTCTGTCATCCAGGTCATAGTCATTCTGTAAAAGTTTAAAAAAAAACTTTTGAAATCATGTTTTAATGCAGGAAATCAGTC